CCTGCTTGCTCATAGTCACTGCCTTCAAGAACAGAACAGAAAAGAAAGCTGACTTCCAGCCAAGCAGTAAAATGCCATCTGTTTCCCTGCTTAGGATCCTGTGTCCTACAGACACACCTCCTTTAAACAAGAGAAATGGCATGAGCACATGGCAAACACACGGTCGGACAACTGATTTAGTTTGCTCCTCTGTTCTGGAGAAGGACATAGGGGAGGAGAAATGGGGGGGGGGGTCTTCCTGCAAATATTTTTTCCCTAATCCAAAAGGTATTTTTGTTAATACAGTTAGAAATACAGTGGCAAGCCTCATCTCACTCTCTTCCTTTCTCTTCTAATTCAGAATGAAACTTTGGGCAGATGAAAGATATGCTATCCCGTATTAATGAGGCCAACAATACTGGGTTTTGTATTGGAATTGATTATATAATGTGGCTTTTTAGAAGCTGGGAATTGCTATCAACCCACCTGTTAAGGCCTTCCTTGAAAGAAACAGGACGTTATCACACGGGGGCAAATTTGCTGGTTAATCCACACAAATCCCAAACAGAAACTGGATTTGTGCCCCGTGTTTTCACACAACGTCGCACAGAAACTGGACAGAAAGTAGACAGAAACTGGTGTTAACCGAGATCTTTTGAAATTGTTTGGAGGAAATGCAAATGCGAAATTAAGGTAATTTCGCATTTACCGTAATGTGAAAAGCAAATGCGAATTTGGGAACATTTCCCTGCTTTTCCCATTGTTCCAGCGAGCATTCCTCTATCTGCGCATGTGCAAGAAGCTCATTTCTAGTACATTTATGGGCTTTTCTCACTTGTGTGTGAACGTTAAATGCACTTACTGTAAATTCGCAATTAAGGTAATTACGTGTGAAAGCCATTTGCGCAATCAAGGTTTATTTTCCGTTTATTTTCGGAATGCCTCATTTCCACTTTATTATTGCTTTTTTGCCCACGTGTGATAATGTCCACAGTCCAGGAAAGGGAGGGGGTGATAACAAGGCTCCTCCTGCTTTTTTCCAAAAATAAATTCTTTACACCAGGTCTTTTAAGCTACCTCTTGGAACCAATTGGTTTTTTAAAAACATTCTCACATGCAGCACATAAATTGTGTTGTTTGGTCTAAAGGGGGGCTTTGGGTAAGGACATTGACGCTATCTCCTAAGACCTATAATTCAAATGTAAAATTATTCCTACCTGTTTGTGATTAATGTGGAGGGAGTTACTATCTTTCACTTCAATCACTTTTTAAAATGCCCTGTTCTGGGACCTTCTTTTGGAAGTGTGGCTGCCCTCTCTTCTAGTTGTGATTTCACATTGGATTGGCAACAGACACCTGATCACATGACATGAATTGCTACAAGTTCATTTTTCCATACGAAAATTATTTGGGTTTTTGTTTGTTTGCTTGCATTTTGCTTAATCTGATTATAACATTTATCCCACTAAGAATCTATATTAGTCTTAGGTTATCTCCATTCTCATTAGAAAAGTTCTCTCATTTTTAATTCTGAGGAAATTTCTTCTTCTGCTGCTGCTGCTCCTGCTGCTGCTGTTGTTGTTGTGTGCATTCAAGTAGCTTCTTACTTATGGTGACCCATGACATATCATGAGGTTTTCTTGGTAAGATTTGTTCAGTAAGAGTTTATTTTTCTTGGCATTCCCCTGAGAGAGTGTAATTTGCCCAAGGTCACCCAATGTATTCCCATGGCCAAGAGGGGATTTGAACCCTGGTCTCCCAGAGTTCTAGTCCAACACTCAAACCACTACACCACATTGGCTCTCTCCTGCATTTTAGATCATATTAATTAGCAACAACATAAATCTATTCACATGATATGCCAGGGAATAATGAAAGCATAAAGGGGTGAAGGATCAATTCCTTCTCTGACTCTAAATAAAAGAGACAGTCAGTTGTTGTTATGTGCCTTCAGGTCAACTCCAATTTATGGCAACACTATAAAAGGATTTTCTTGGCAAGTAGTCAGACAAAGTTTACCATTGCTTTCTAAGGCCACTCATGGTTTTCCATGCATGAGCAGGGATTTCATCCCCAATCTTCCAGAGTCCTAGTCCAACATTGAAACCACTACTCCATGCTGGCTTTCCATATGGGCTATATAGTTCCTGTGTTTAGCCTTCAATCTGAATTTGGCAATGAGGTGAACAACTCACATATTTTCTCTGTAATTTCAGTGTGTGGTTCTGGAAGTGGTGTAATTTTTTTTGAGGGGGGGGGAAATCTTGTAATATCCACTTACACATTTCTGAATATTCAGGGATCTCCTAACTGTGTGGCACCTTAAAGCTAACAAGTTTTATTTGCTATAAATTTCAAACTGTATGACTGTATCCCACTGCATCAGATGCATGAAGTGTTGCCTCACATCCTAATGATTTCCAATCCATGCAGCTAAAATTGTTATTTCTATTGTAACCATTTCCAGAGATGAGTGGTGGTGGTAGTCTGTTGCATCAGCAAAAAGAACAAAGAGTCTTGTGGCACCTTGAAGACTATCAAGTTGTATTTGACATAACAACTGCAGTTCATGGAAGCTTATGCAGAATAAAACCTAATAGTGTGCATTCCTGAACAAAGATGGCTGAGGAGCAGTTGAATTAGCAATTTGCCACCTGAAGCTGTGATAAATCCAAACCCAGCTACCACCCCAGCCTAAGCATTAGATTTAGGAATAACTTTGCCCTGGCGTCACTTTGTATTGATATTGTGTCTGTGTCCCTGGCCTGGAGAAAGTTTGGATCTGGTATAACTCGGCTCTGCCCCTTCTCTTTGAGCTCTTTTGCTGGAAGATTATAGCCAACAGAGCAATTCTGCCAGCAGATTGTTCTACCAGCAGATCTGTGAGATAAACTAACAAAAGATGGGACTGAATCTTTATATAGTCGGCTCTCCATATTCATGGCTTCTGCATCTACAGATTCATCCATCCATGGCTTGAAAATATTCCCAGTTACCCCAAGGTCTGGACCTCTGGACCTCTCCTCTTTTTCAATATCAAGTTAATATTAAAAGGGATGTTATAAACATGTAGCCAAGAGGGTGCCCCCAGTGCAAGAGGGTGCCCCCAGTGCATGTCATATAAGGACATCCATGACCATATAGAGAGATCCAGCTAGCTCACCAGGAGGAAGCTGAAGAGCACATAGCCAGGAAAGATCAGTCAAGATTAGAATCTGCATAATCCCTTCATTGATAGAAGGTATGGTGGGAGATGGACCTTGAACTTACAAAAGAACAAATTCTGAGTATACTTCCTTCTGGAAGAAATACTCCATTGTTCAGAGACATTTGCACTGATTCTAGTTATTTGTACATTCCCTTCTCATTCTTCTTTCCTGGAAACTTCATTTTAATTTCAAAATCTGCCCTGGGATACATTTTGCTCTATAAACATGCCTGCCAAGGCATTCCCAATTTGGTTTCTCTTGAGATTCAGATAGATACTCTGTCAGTATCTCATTTGACTCCTCAGCATTGCCAGCAGCTACTGAGCCATTTCACTTCAGTGTCCCCCAGTTGGAGTCCTGCATTGATGCAGTATCACCCTCTGCAATCCCTAAAGTCACTATCTGCTAATAATAATAATAATAATAATAATAATA